AAACAAGAACTACTTCAAAAAGGACCCTCCGTTGAAATTTGCACAAAACTTTCTTAACATGAACAAATACTGCACTTATCACCGAGACCATGAGCACAACACGAAGGAGTGTCGTCAATCAAGAATTTGGTGGAGGAACTCATTAAAGCAATAAAATTGAAAGAATTTGTCTCTATCGGTGAGCACACACGGTGATAGGGGAAAGCTCTAAAGGAGGACCCATCCAAGCGGGCGAGATTCACCTGGTTGGGTTCATCCCAACTATTTTTGGAGGAAGCGATGAGTTGTCTCGTCAGTCCACTCTTAAGAGGCACTAATCAGGGAAGGTATGCTCTTTCGCCTCTTACTCTCATAATCACAGATGCACATCTCTCGCTAAAAGGAAACCCGTATAATGACGTTATCATCATTTCGACACTCATAAAACTACTAGATGGTAGTATCCTGGTCGGTACTGAAAGTTCGTGAACGCCCAATCTTAAATAATGCTTGACAAGATGGGACTCAAAATTGATCGATTGGCAACACCAGTCAGTCCACTATTTAGATTTTCGAACGAGAAAAGAGGCCCTAGTTGTAATTGATTTGGTTTTCTCATGGGGAGAGAGAGAATCAGTTCATCAACACCAAAAGTTTTTTTGGTAGTGGAATCCCCACCAACTTACAATGCCATATTCGGTCAACAATTGCTCAACAGTTATCAAATAGTAACTTCAACTTATCATGTGGCCGTGAAATTTTCTGAAGATGCGAAAATAATCATTGTTTGAGGGAACATAGAGCAGTCAAGAAGTCTCTACCTTGGAGTGGTCACCGGTGTTGACCACGAGCCGCTTGCATTCCAAATCTAGAAGAAATGGGGTCTTGAGACTAGTGAGATCGTCTTTTGAGTGCTCACGACTGATGAGGAATAGACTGGTAAGGTCATTATAATTAGTGAGAATTTTGATGTAGAACATAGGGACCCGTTGATCCAGACCCTCTGTGCATCAGGGTGCTTCACATGGATAACTACGGAGATGACCAGAGTTCTGATTGATATCACAAGCCACCGGCTTAACATCAACCCATTCTCTCAACCTAAAGTGAATGCAATGACAACACAAATCTTGAATTAAATTAGCACATTAACTGCATTAAGGGTGGTTTCTATAATCGCTCTCTCCTTCCAGTAATTAAGGGTGGTTTATATAATTGCTCATTTCTTTTTATATTGTACATTCCTTTTTATATTGTACAAAAAGATCTCATATAAATAGAAGACCCAACAATAAATAAAAGAAATCCCCCCCCCCCCCCCCCCCCCCCCCCCCCCCCCCC